CATTGAAACGTATAAATTCAAGAACCACTCCAGCTATAACCTCACGGGTTTCATTCTCTTCCAAATAACAGTAGTTAAGAAACGTGCTGATGTTGCGGAAGTATGCAAATACATACTCTAACAGGCAGGTAGGACATCCTATCATTGCATTCGGACCGAATAAACAAACATTGTATGGTCCTACACCATCCACAGACAAGATATATACATATAAATATATTTACACCACTTAACTTAGTGATTGCTATCAGGATGTGAAGAGACTTTTAACCAGCATAACAAAAAATGTTTCTGGAACAAAAATCCTACCCTGCCTTTAAAATCGGCATGAAACGGAAGTTGTGATAGTTTTTTACTTCCCAATTGTGATGCATTTTGGGTAAGTGAAGCAAAATGTTGGGTGGGACTTGATTTTGTTCAACAGTAATTGATTGGATGGTTGGATCATTTGCTATTACTGTGATCTCATGCGAGTGACAGGTTGCCCGCGAGCTGGTAAACACATCATCACAGAAGAGATGATGTTACAAGAGGGAGGGGTTATAAGTTATTTTGATTAAAGATTACAATCGCACTTGAATCTTTAAAAAAATGATGATGAGCACAAATAGTTTATAATAACTACTGCGATATTCCATTACATATTTTTAAAGGTGGGATTGATTTGATTCAGTTTGTTTATCGTTTTGAATGACATGGAAGTGACCAATCAGAATCCGTATTCGAAACAGTCGCTTATTTCTGAATAATGATCTTTGTCCAGTGTAACATTTTATAGCTGACTGCACACACATTTTTCTTTTGTAGCTGTGCTTGTGTTCTGTCTTTTCAGCTGGCTCTACCAGCAGAATAATACAACAATTTCTACTCAAATCAATACGTAATGCCCATGTTTTTAAGTAACAAAAGTAAGGAATAATAATGTACAGTCATTATTACAAAATAAACTTCTTCAGGGTGATATTTCTTCTACAATAATTGCACAGAGCAACACAGTTAGCCAACTTGAGCAGTTTGTTTGTACGTGGACACTTTCTGAATCCCTGCCATGTGTGTGTCCTGTGTAGATATGGCAATGTGGTGGGAAGCTTCTGTTCGTGCCATGTTCACGGGTGGGGCACATCTACCGTCTGCAGGGCTGGCAAGGAAACCCACCTCCTGCTCATGTAGGCTCATCCCCCACACTTAAGGTCAGTTTTACTCTTTTTATTCTATAATCAGACCTTTCTGAATCTGAAAACAAAACTGGGTCAAAGCTATACTTTACTGATACACTTTAATCCAGTCTGTAACCTCCCTTCTCCTTATTGGCTGCATGTAGAACTATGTGCGGGTGGTGGAGGTGTGGTGGGATGAGTATAAGGACTATTTCTACGCCAGTCGGCCTGAGACTCTCACGCTGGCCTACGGGGACATCAGCAGCTTGAAAAAGTTCAGAGAGGAACATCGCTGCAAGAGCTTCAAGTGGTTCATGGAGGAGATTGCCTATGACATCCCTCTACATTACCCACTTCCTCCGAAGAATGTCGAATGGGGAGAGGTGCATATAGAAGTTATTCACGAAATGGAGAAAATGCAGTTGATTAAAGTGATAGTGAATGTTGTGGAATTTGTCATCATTCAGTCGCTTTTTCTTTCGATAGATCCGTGGGTATGAGACCAGCTACTGCATTGACAGCATGGGCCACACCAATGGTGGCAATGTCGAGATTGGGCCTTGTCACAGAATGGGTGGAAATCAGGTATAGGGAAATGTTTTAGCAGCAATACTTTGCTTTGACTGTTTTTAGAACAAGTTTTTGATCTCATTTCAATTTGGCATTTCTTCAGCTCTTCAGAATTAATGAAGCAAACCAACTCATGCAGTACGACCAGTGCCTGACAAAAGGAGGAGATGGATCTGCCGTCATCATAACACACTGCAACTTGAACGAGCACACGGAGTGGAAATATTTTAAGGTATGTCACACCAGGTTTCGAGCCTCTTTTGTAACGCAGCCTGAGCCCCTAATCAACAAAACCACCATTTTTACCACATGTTGATTGCATCAAAACATTTTGGAATAATTGTTTTAAGTAAGTTTAATAATGCCCTATACACAAATTAAACTGTAGATGACACTTAACAATAAAGTTCAACACTAGTGTATGTAATCGCTAGATAACAATGAAAAAAACGTAAGCATTTCAAAAAACTTCTCTTATGTTCACCAAAAGCTGCATTTATTTGATGAAAAATACAGTAAAAACGGTAATATTGTGAAATTATTACAATTTAAAATAACTGTTCTTTATTTCTGGGATGGCAAAGCTGAATTTTCAGCATTATTACTCAAGTCTTCAGCGTCACATGATCCTTCAGAAATCATGTGCTGGTTTTGTTCTTTTCTTGTTATTATCAATGTTGAAAACAGTTTTTTTTTTTTCAGGATTCATTGATGAATATCGTTTATTTGAAGTATACATTTTTTTGTAACTGTGTAAAAGTCCCTTTTGATCATTTTAATGCATAGTTAGTAAAACATAAAACAATATCCCTTAGTTAACAAACATTATCAATTATTAATATTTTATACATGAATAATGCTGTAAAAATAGTTTTTAAGTTCATGATACCTAATTTATTAACTTTATTGTAAAGTTTTAGCAAGCTTGATTCCGTACCTTTCTGTATTGATTCTTCAGTGAACTTTTCCAACGCTTCTGATTTCTCGTAGGATCTGCATCGATTCACACATATACCTACAGGGAAATGTTTGGATCGCTCTGATGTATTGCACAAGGTTTATATAACTGACTGTGACAACAGTAAGAGCTCGCAGAAGTGGGAGATGAACAACATTGTGGCAGTTTGAGAGCTGGCTTTACTGTCTCAAATGTGCTTCAAGGAAAACCACTGACTACAGAAACATGTTTTACCAGTATACATGTGACTAATGAAGTTTTAGTCATCGCCACAATAACTGAACTCTGATCATATTAGTTTTTTTTTCTCCATTGAAGACAATGTTTACATCGGTTCATCCCCAGTGTCCATTGCATGGGTTTTTCTTTGGAATCTGTGGATTGGAGGGGTCTACCTAACAGAATGTTTTTTATCTTTTGTAGAATGTGCACAATGTGTGCTGAGATAAATTAAATTATCTAATACCACTTCTGTTGCTGCTCCATTATAAAGTAAAGGTTGTCCATCAAGGACTGGGATGCATAAAATATTTTTTTAACACTGGAACTTTATGTTTGAGATGTCAACCTGCCACTTGAACTTTTTTCGTCTTTGGCACAATGGCACATTTTTTTGCCACATTCTATGGGTAAAGAACGGGAGTGGAAAGACGAGGGAAATGAGGACAAGGGGTCAACAATGAAAAAAAGGAAAAAAGTGATACATTTATTTTTGTCTACTGCATAAATGTTTGGTTGGTTGAGGGAACATTTGTTACTTGTTTGTGAAAATCATTGATTGATTATACTGTTCATGGCCAAAAATCACAAGCAAATGGAGCAAAGTTGTGTTTTAAGGTTGGGAATGATTGCAATGTGTACATTTTTGTTTGTTTTGTACAATGTAAATATGATTATTTCTAAATTAACATTTTGAGATACGGTGGGGTTCCAAATGAAGGTGTAAATATCTAACTTATAATGGCTGTTTTCTCAAGAAAATAAATGGAACATTTTTACCAGTCTGTTGCTGTATTAAAGTTTTGTTTTTAGCAGGTTATAAGCACTGATATTTCAACCATTTAGATGATCAAGGGAATTAAGTTGGCAATTTTGTTGGGTTCCACGTTATATATATATATATATAAACCGCTGCATAAATCACATTGTTTCTGTATCAAAAAAACTAGTTACATATTTACCTAATACAAAATTGAACCATAAAAAGTTGTTTTTAACTACTGTAGTAGTAAAAAAAAAACAGCACATGGTTTCTGTATTTACATGTTTCAAATTTCGGTAACACGGTTTGCACATCTAAAATTTTAAACATTCAGCAAGTTATTCGTTGATAAAATGTTTTCTGAGTTTGTGAATTTTAAGCACCTCCCTTTAATGTAGAAGTTATAGGCTTTTTTTTTGCAGTGTTCTTGGAAAGTGCCTGCTAATGTGGAATTGATCCCAATATTCTGTTCATATGCTGAATAGGTTGTTCAAGGCAGTAGACTGAGCTTTTGGATGCAGATGAATGATATACATCTGGTCACTGATAGAACAATACACCCAACCTATGTCACATGACCAAACAGAAGGACATCTCAGCCCAAACAAATCATTAATGCATTTAACCATAAGTCTGGTTACAGATGAAGTTACATGTGCATTGATGCCTCTTAATTTTCAGATCAAGTTATTCACAGGGGAGTTAACCTGATAACCAACAATTAAGTCCAATTAGAAACAAACCTCAATTTAAAGGGATAGTTCACCCAAAAATGTAAAGTGTCATTACTTGCTCACCCTCATGTTCCAAATCTGTAGGAGTTTTTCGTTGAACACAAAAGATATTTTGAAGAATGCTGTTATCCAAACAGTTGACATTGACTTCCATAGTAATTTCTCCCTACAATGGGGTCAATCAACTGTTTGGTCACCAACATTCTTCAAAATATCTTAAGTGTTCAACAGAAGAAACTCATACAGGTTTGGAACATGAGGGTGAGTAAATGACAAATTTTTTTTTTTGGGGGGGGGGGAAACTATCCCTTTTAATCAGTAACAACTGCACTCCATAGTTAGTCTCACATTTGCATTATGGCCAGTCCACAAGAAACTAAGCCTAATTTAAAACAAAAATTAAATGGTCTGCTTATTAATGTAAAATAGTGCCAATAGTCTGTAAAACAGCCAACGCAGAACTAAGTTTCAATTTAAACTAAAATATTTGGTTAATACAATTTGCTTAGGCAATGATTAAATTAGTTTATACCTCATTAATGATATTTAATCAACACCTGTTGCTATGAATAAATGCGGTCTTGACAATATGCAATATAAACAAATTCTGAAAAAATCTTTAATAAGTCAAATGAAGTCAAAATTGCACACAGTGGAAAGGGAAACTGGTCATAATATACAAAAAATTTAATAAACAAAAAAAGACTTCAGTCTACACAACTTTTAAAGCTCATTTTAAAAATTGAGACACTACACAAATTGTTCCTCATTTGTCTTAAAATGGCAGTAGAAATAATATGAAACAGGGAAAGAAAACAAGCAACCACAGCTATCAAGACAAAAAGCAGTGCTTAAAAAAAAAAGCTGTTACATTTACAAAACAGCACATGACCTCAATATGTATTCAATTATACACATTTCTGTACATGTCTTGAGAAATTTAAATGCATTCACATTGTTTTGCAAACAACTCAGCTCAAGTTCTCCTGATAGTTTAATCGTCATCATCATCCTCATCCTCCTCGTCCTCTTCTTCCTCATCCTCCTCTTCTTCGTCATCATCATCATCATCATCAACCACCTTTTTTCCTGCTGGCCGGCCAGGTCCACCCTTCTTGCCACCCTCTGCTTTTGCTCCTTTGGCGCGATATGCAGCAACGTCCTGGTACACAAATACTTGTTAACACAAGAAAAATTCTATCAAAAGTACCTGAATTGGGCCAACCTTTACCTTTTCATACTTCTCCTTGAGCTTCATGGCCTTCTGCTCATATGGAGACTTTTCCTTTGGTGAAAGCTTGGACCACATTTCCCCAAGTTTCTTTGCAATGTCACCAATAGAGATGCCAGGGTTGTCACCCTTAATCTTCGGGCGATGGTCAGAGCAGAAGACAAAGAAAGCCGATCTGATAGTAGAGAAGAAAAATTAGACTTAAAATAAATATTCAAATAACAAAAAAACTCAGGGGTCTATTTGTGCACTACTTACGGTGGTCTCTTAGGAGCATTTGGGTCTTTCTTCTGCTTTTTCCCTCCTTTTGCACCTTTAGGAGGCACATAAGTTTTCATCTCCCGTTCATAGCGGACCTTGTCAGTTTTGGCCATTTCTTCAAATTTGCCCTTCTCCTTAGAGGACATGGTCTGAAAAACACGAGACTATGATTAGATTGTGCCAGGCAGGCGCAGTGTACGTCTCTTTATCCTCCCGCCCTACATTTGCCTCAGTCACTTGAGTAACAGATGCATCGTGTAATTCTGCCCCACCCCCCTCTCTCCCTCCCTAACAACAACCACCCCCCGGAAAAACATTGAAGCAGCCCTTCTGTTCAGCTCACCTTCCATCTTTCAGAACACTTCTTGGAGAACTCTGAAAAGTTCACCGAGGTCCCTGGATTTTTCTTTTTATGTTCCTCCCGGCAGGTTTGCACAAAGAAGGCGTAAGAGGACGTCTTTCCCCTGGGTTTAGTAGGATCCTTACCCATGGCTGTAATGTGCTGAAAGTGATAAAAAGACAAAAACCTCTTTAAAAAGAACCCATAGAAACAGCAGCATGTATAATTGTCAAAACCTATGTTTTGTTGTTGCTTTAGCGCTAGTAAAGCGACGGAGAAAATGATCGCGCATTAAACGCTAACGTTAGTTAATCCGATCAAGTTCCTGCTTCGTTTCCACCAGATCACTCAACTAGAACAATAACGTTAAGCGTCCCTCCATTTTGTTTTCCCGCCTAAACTGCAGGAAATATGCACTATAATGTATGAAGGCTATTAGTTTCAGACTCTAGTCGTTGAAAGTAAAGAAACTAAGCAAGTTTCTACGGCACACAACTTGAGCACTTTTAGCCGCTTCGGTCTCCGGACGCGAGCGCTGCGCTCCATTACGACCTCAAACTCAAACCAGTCATGGCTGCTTACACCTCTTAAATTCAAAAGATCACTAAGCTGGTAAAATCCTTTAAATCTACTTGCTCACGTAACCAAACGCTACAGCTGAGATAACACTTTTTTTTTAAAATAAACACTTTTCTTGGTTTCAACTGTAGAAGCAGTAAAAAGTATTAAAAGTCTCATACAAAATTCTAGCGCTACCGTGTAACATTACCTTACTTAGACATTTTCGATAAAAGCTCAGTTTAAAAGATTTATTGGGTACATTAAGACATACAACTTACCTCTAATCAGCCTCGACTGCTCAACGCGTACTCTGGTTGTAAACTGTTTAGTCCCTGTGTGCTGCAGGGCGCACAAACTTGATTAAATGCCCATAGACTCCACCCTCAGAGCTCTCGTCTGATTGGTTGGGACACGTTCGAATTTGAACTAGCAACGTTCTAGACGCGGTATTGAATTCTTATTGGCTGTCTATGACCGCAGTCAAGTTTCTTCGTGAAAATTAGATCCAGATGACGACGCCACTGATATCATCAGCTATTGGTTGAACTGGGGATTTAAAATAATGAGCGGTAAGTCTTTGAATCAAGGAAATGCGGCCCAGTTTCGTTCTTCTAGCCAAATGACTTTATGTAACAAATATTAATACGTTGCACATTCTGAGTGAAATTGTTTGAGGGAGTATCACTATGCCAAACAGAATCAGGGTTCGAAGGCTTTAGGTTTTAAAGTTTTAATTGGCACAAACAACGTCGCGCCATATGGACAAAAGCTGACGTCTGTGAGTTGATGCGGGTTTAAAGAAGGGTTTAGACCCAAGGCGGGTCTCTGCTGCTCACACACCTCCTAGGTTAAAAACCAATTCATGGCTATTTTTCATCTACCCCTTTGTCTGTTAAATGATGATAGATTATTTAGGTTTCACTTTTCTCTGTAAGTATATGTTTTATTGTCTTACTATGAATTTTTTCCATTAAAAAACAACAACAACTTGCCCCATATTTTCAACGCATTTTTTTTACTAAATGTGTCAGGATTTGTATTTGCAGCAGCGTAATCTACACATTGGTGACGTGATTATTGCGTTCGTAAACACATGATCACGTGTTACTTCAACCTTTTGTGGGGGACAGGGCGTTCGTTTATTGTTAGAGTACCATTGAATGTTATAAAGTAATACAACAGAAGACAAAGCGTTGCATAGTTCACTTAAACATACTTAAAACTGTTATAGTAACAAGCTATTATTTTCTTCTATTTCTTAATATATTTAAGAGAAATCTAAGAATATTTGCTAGAATCACTATTGTAGCATAAATAACAGTATGGCCTAGACAAATTATAAATTGTTGCTGTTGTATTATACAAGTTATGCTATGAAATTTTGCCAGTGCTAATGTCATTTAACACATACATGCATTTACATACACATATATATATATATATATAATGTACATATATGTACACACACACACACACAAACAAATTCTAATCAAAAATCTAATCTGAAGTGTTTGTCTGGGCAGTTCAAGCCAGTTCCATGAAATATGTGCCATCAAGATTCATTGTAGAAAACACACTCAGCTGTTCAGACAACTGAAAGGCCAAGGGGGGATGGACAACTGGAACTCTGCTGAAATGTATATGAAGAACAAGAGCAGTTTGGTGGTATTTAAACAAGGGAAACTTTTATATGAAATAAATGGTGTATTTATACGAACTTTAAAAATATTAATAAAATCTTTTATATTTATACAGAAACATCTTATTTGCACAAAATTACATATTTTAGACTTAACTGTGATGGATAACTAAATGAGGTGATGGATAATTAAATGAGGTCATTAGCATGACACTGTTACCACCTGTATTATAGCCTAAAACAGCACCTCACATTCAAATCTATCTACATTTTGCCATTGGATTTCAATAGGTTAGGACAATAGAGGTGTAAAACAGTTCTAGAGAATTAGCCAAATGGCTGTCTAAGTACCCTATAAGCACAGACCACAAAAGGCATGATTGGGAATAACTCAAGTCTGAAATGTGGTCAAATAAGGGACTGGATAAGAATACATACCAGCTAGGCATAAAATTGCACTTTTTAGTTTTGACGTTTTAACAAGTGGAGAAAAATATTATTTGTGAATAATCAAGAGTGCATTAAGTATCCCAAATGTGACTTAGAAACTAGCTCAACAACTAAAACTATAGTTTTTGTTGGTCTTTGTTTTTCAGTGTCCCTCTGTTGTCAGACATACCTTGGCTTTGGATTCATGCTAATTTAAATGTGTCATCCTTTAGATTTATGCAATTAGGCCTATAGAAAAATGGACAGGTGAAACACTGTCCTCTTTTCTTTCTTTTGTAACATGCCCTTCTGTTCAGATTTCTGCATGAAACACATCCTGTTCATCTGTGGTGTGGTGCTATAAGAGTGCTCCAAGCTGGCAAGAATAGACATGCTGATACAAACCAAAACTATCATCTTATCGCAAATGTGAAGAGTGAATTGGTTTAGGATGACTGTACAGCGTACAGCGCCTCTTTGCGGGATTTTTTTAAATTTACAAATTGTATTGTCAGCAAAACAATTTATGGAAAAGTAATTGAGAAATGAACATGAATTGCAGGATTTCTTTGGTTTCCCTACCTTTTGCTTTTTAATGACAGCAACACTAGAGCTGCTTTGACTCCGCAAGCAAAACCTGATGATAGTATGATTTGTGTTCCAAAGAGCATATAGTGCTCCAAAGGACACAATAAATTCTGACATTTTGTTCAAAAGAGTTAACATGGTCAGTGTCACATGACCTAGCAATAATGTTGTTATTTATTTATTTATTTAGCATAGCATACCTCTAATTGGCCTGCCCTAAGGACGGCTCTGGTAAACATATAGGGTAGATTGAGAGATGACCATAGATGACAAAAAATCTCATCTCACCACTTTTGATGAACTGCTACACTATTTAAAAATTCATCTGAATGTCAATGTTGTTGAGATTTACCCTTGGTTTAAAAAACCAAGCTAAACTAAGCCCTATAGACTAAAATATATGCATTGTTTAAACTGTTTTAACTGAAAGCAACTTGCACAAGCATATCTTAAGTTACAATATGTCAGTGCCATTGTTTTGTCTCAGGATGCACACCAGTAATGTTTTTTTTTTCTAAGGCACATTTATAAAAGCTACTTAAATTGATCTAAGGCCTAATCCTGGCTTAATCTACGCTTTGTCTGTGAAACCAGTAGTAGAACCTGTAGAACCACTAATTGATCTAATTTTGTGATTATGGGAAAATAGTGATCTCTGACATTGTATATCAAAGTTTTTTGTGTCTATTTGTTAATGAGGGATTTGTGGACACATTCATGTTTTTAGATGTTTTCACAGAAGGCCTCAAGTTGTGTTGTTATTTTTTAGTTTAATAATTATTGTAATTAATTGGGTTATTATTCAGTATTTAATTAGATGTAATACATTTCAGACATCTTTGTTTCATTAAAGCCTATAGGTTAGTTGAGTGAAACCATTAATTTTACATTCATAGTGTTGCTATAATGAAATATCTTCAATTAAAATATGTAAGGCATACAATCATTTTACCTTTCAGATGAATCTCTTATACTGGGATTCTGCTTATATATATATATATATATATATATCCCTGGGTGGGGGCTTCTTACCAGTATGGGCCATCTAACCCCTCTTTTATTTTTTAGCGAACTAAGTTAGCGAATGTTTCTATTTATTTCCTATAATAACACATTGGCTGATGCATCATCATCCTGCACATGCTAAACGTATAAATATGTTACAAAGTAAATCCACATTGTTCATTAGGGGGCATCTTCCCTCATCCTTGCAATAAAGCTCATTCTGTCATCTAACCTTAAATAGTTAATGTCCCTTAATCACTGCATAATTTTTCAAAATCATAACATTTCAAGGATTACATTATTTTAAGTGTGGATTGGGATAATGTTCTATTAAACATCAAATGAACACAGTGCTTTTCAGATGTAAGATTGAGATAAGGCTGCAGACATAACACAAATTAATGACAGTAAATGCCCAAAACTTGTAATGTATTGTTTTTATTATTTAAAATGTCCACATCTGAATTCAGGTTAAATTGTTTTGCATTCGGCAAATACAATATCGCAATTGCACCCATATGACATTTTAAATACTGCCCCCTAACGGAGGCTTATTTGTTCAAAACATTGCTTCACACTTTGTGCTGCTATCCCCTTCAGAGCCCCTGTCTGTAAAAGTGAGGTAAAACGGAATGAAACTTGATAAACATTATTTATTGTAGCGCTAAGAGCCAGTTTAATTATTGAATCATTTCTTTATTTCGCATTTTCCTCTCACTGATTTCCACCAAACCAGTTCCTTCTGTGGTTGGATTTGCTCACTTAGAGAAATGCTCATATAATTTTTTGCATGGAATTACAAAGATGATGTTCGTCCCAAATAAGATATGCCAAACAATTAGCTCGGTTAAAAGGAAATGTGTAACTAAATAACGGGACTGGACATTTGAAATGTCCAGTCCCGTTATTTAGTTATCTAATCGTTACATTGTTAACTTACATCGAACAAAAAAGTAACTGTATAGGCTATCGGTCTACCACGCTCACGCTGTTAAGTCATGTGCATATATAAATAGATGGTTCAAAATAGCAGTTTACAAAGATGCCTCTATTCACTGACCGCCGCTGACCGGATCCGGTGTGTGCCTGCCTGCCTGTACACTTAACTTGGCGCCCTCTTGCGAAATTACTAAAGCATACAATGGCGATTGCATAACGTTCCAATGATAGGCTACACGATGCTGGGGTACCCTACTGAATATTAATTAGGTAGTAGTCTACACGTTGCCAAAGGGTGTTGCGTTTGCACTTGCCAACAGAGAAAGCTTAGCTCATGAATTAAATATTCAGAAACAATCATTAAATATTCAGAAACAATCATTCACGTCAAGCCCTTCCCTACCAGATCTCTAGCAAACTACTGAAACCAGATCTCCGCTGCGCTCTAGCGGCCAGATCGTGTAATTACAGTGGACAGCAGCAGCACAGCATCGCGAAAGTTGCAGAAACATAGCACTTGTTGCTCTTCCAAAAATGGTTTTGCAAGGTGTTAATTTGTCGCATCTTCTTCACTCCTTTTGTAATGCCATGGCAGTCTCGATCCTTGAATACTTTGAATACTTTGTTTGTAGCATATCAGGCGGTTTAGAGCGAATTGCACAACTCAGGAAATAAATAAATGACATGCAATGCCTGCATTAGCCTACTGTAAAAAAAAAAAAAGAAAGAAAGAAAAGAAAATGGATCAT